ATATGATACCAGGAGCAAACCAGCCCACATCTTACTACTACTACTGGCAGCTTTAAATGGGAGAGAAATGTTACTTGGATTCAAGGTTTTTAAATATGTTATGATTCACTAGATATTGATGCTCAGATAATGCATATTGTATTCTCTTTTCAAATAACAAAAGAAGCAAAATTTAAGATATTCTGAAATGCCATGGTAAAATCTCAGTCAAATGTATTTTATCTTTGTTTCAGTGAATATTTGTAATTCCCATACAAAAGATACAATAAATTCCTATCAGAAAGATTTTTCCCTTTCAGGGTTTAGAATTTTGAAAATAATCTTTTAGTAGCAAAGCCTACATTCCCTAAGCTATGGCACCAAAATAACAGCACTATGATATATTACTCTTATATGGTAACAGATATTGTTAAAGCTGAACTGTAATTTGGCACACTACATTTCCATACTAATGTAATGTGACAATATTATTATGCCTGCTATTTTCTATGTGATCATAGCCACATTCATCTTCTCCAACCTGACATTAAATTAGCTAATATGGTTACATTCTTTTCTGAACCACTGGGTAAGAGGAGAAGTGGATTACTGGTTAACACACTGGTTTCATTATGATGAGTGGGTGTAAAATGTATAATCCTAGCATAGGCCTGGCATATAGTGAGCATTCAACCAATAGTCCACCAAAGAGAAGGTCCACAAATATCTATATATGAAGTAGAGCAATGTACTGTCTCCCTAAGATTTCAAATGAAGAAAAGGTAATGTCCAGCATACTGTACCAAGGAAATTTCCATGAGATGAAACAGTTTAAGCAGAGATTGAAAAGGAAATTATATTCCTCCAAGCAGATATACTGAAAAAAGTATGTTCCAGGTGGATTAACAGCATTCACCAAGTGGAGAAATTAGAGTGCACAATGGTGAGGAAATTGGAAAGTGTAATGTTGTACAGAAAGCCATGCATAGGTAAATTGGTAGTAACACACCATATGGACAAGGTTCTGCAACAGACAAGTATGGAAATGAAGGCTGGGGTCAGACCATGGAGGTTTATGAACCCCTGACAGATGATTCTAGAAGATGATGTTGGCCACTGAAATATGCTACAAATCTTCTTGCAAGGTTCATGCATTCAGTCGACATTAGGTTAGTGTACCATTATCACCAATTATATTCAACATGCCATGAAAAACACTGTGCTTATGAGCCATAAAAAGAACACTATTCCTGTAAGATGCACATAGACTCACAGTGAGATTGAGATAAAACCAGACACAGAAACTACATGTTAGAAAATGATGGCTGATAAAACAATACAAACTCCTATAGCATCACAGGAAGAAAAATACTGCCAGTGGTTGAGAGAATAAGAGGCTGGTGACATTTAAATCAAAGAGAAAGAATAAAACTAGTGGAGACACAGAGGATGATCAGATGAGAAAGAAAAAGGGAGGAGGAGACAACCAAGAAATTAGTACAGTAAGCCAGAAAAATATTTAGTAGTAACATGGAAGAAGAGTTGAAGAGTTGAGAACACAACACAAACCCACACACACATGCACACACACACATCCACATAGCAATTTTTATTTATTAATGAGTAGATCACTCAAATGCCAATTTTCCACAGAAAGAAAGATTATTCACAAACACATTTCTTTAAACATAGCCTTTGGCATCTCTTTACATAAGTGCCTCTTTTTTTGAAAGATTCCTTTCTGTTCAATTAATTAGTATGATTTATCCAAGATTACATTTACAAGCTATAAAGTATTCCCATATTCCCACTGTTAATTATATCTCCAGGCTAATATAAATAATGTTTTCTAGTTATTCTAACCCATTCCTTGAAACTTATCAGATATATGACATTTACAAGTTCTATTTTAGGGAGAAATTGTTCTTTATAATGTGGTGTATTCTTTCTCCTATTAAAAAGAACTGTCTCTATTTCCTTTTTGTTTATTTGTTTGTTTTGTTTCCTATGAAGTTGGAGGCTGCAGTCACAGAATTTACAGATAAAAAACTAAGCCAAGAATGAAATGCCATTAAGAAACAAAATGGTTTGATTGGCTTAACGTTAGAAAAAGAGTCAACCTCCACCCCTAAGTGTAGTTTGTTAAAATCCAAGGAATCACACTAATTCTATTTGTGTGTAACTATAGAAAAACAGTGAGATTCAGAAACGAGGTTTATTTTAATCAATTTATGTGACAAGACACTTCAATTACCATTTTTTCCATTTATATGTCTCAAAGTAACAATTATTATTGTACCTTCCACAAATTATAATGGATGTAAAAATAAGCTTTACTTTCAAATGTAGATTTTACCTATATATCCTCCTCACCAAGAAGCTCCAATGTGCAAACCACAGAACCATTTCACATTTCCAGAAAACCCAGTTACAGGTAATGATTTAATCAAAATGCATGTATTCTGAGAGCTCTCCAAAGTAATTTTAATGCTGATTTGTGCAAGAGGCATATCAGGAGACACATTTACTGAATGACATTTATCTATTTACAAGAAAATAACAAATGGCCTTATCATTGCCATTACCACTATCACCCAAGAGCAGCATTCAAATAATTTTCTGCAAAAAATGATACTCAAGTTTAGATCTTGATGTTCCCTTAGGAAAAGTCTAGCAAATACATACAGAAAATTGTATTATTCATATTTAACAAGTAGGTGAGGATACATGAGCTGACACAACCAAATGGCAACTGTTTTGTAAAACACGGAAACTAGATTAAGCAAAGTTTGGCAGAGAATATACTTCAGCAAAATGAAAAATATTTTCATACCCAAAAAGCCCTCTCAACTACCACATGTAGTCATACATCTGTCAGGATTGTTTTCAGGATTAAAAATTTGCAATAATAAAAACATTAAAAATTTTCAGTCTGCTGGTTGTCCTTGAAAATAAGTTGATGGCATTTTCTTTGTGGTAGGAGCAAATGCAGGAAATTATTGCTCTGGAGATGTAGACACATGGCATTACTAAAGCATTTATAAAGGTTAAATATTGTTCTTGACTTTTTGGATATATATAAGTATTTATTAAATCTTTCCATATGGTTATTTATGTAACTCAAACTGAATTTATCATTTTAAAGTGTGATTTGATACGTAGAAATACAGTGTTTGCATATTTTCATTGCTTCAGGTTTATTATAATGCTGGGGAAGATGACAATTGTAAAATGGAGATCAGATATTTCTCCATCTATGGTACATGGTCACTAAAGGCTTTTTCTAAGCATGGTTTGGCTTTTTACCGTGTGTTGGTTGCTTTTTCTTCCTATAGCCAGTATTTTGGAATGGAAGCCTAAGACAGCTGGTGAACTGTACTATATTTCTAATCTGTAGCAACCATGTTCAATGGAATATTTTAGCCTGACCCTTCCTGTGATATTGTGATATACCATCCACTGACCTGAATAGAGTCTAAATGGACAAAGGTAAGAAAGAACGAACTCTAAGCTTTCATCAAATCCACACTCAACTCTAGCCTCTGCTGTGAAGCACAAACCTTCAACCATCACATTCTCTGTCATGCTAGAACTTTATATGTTGTCGTATTTACAACATAAAGCATGTACTCTATAAATAGGAGGCTTTGTCCAGGATATTCTTTGCATATAGTAGATAAACATGTTTTGTTGGAAATGCTTTTAGCATTTTGATTAAGTTCTGTAAAGCAAGACCTATTTGAAAGTTAAGAAATAAAATTTCACCCTATTGACCAGTTAATTCCCTCTCAAACCCCTCACAGCAATAATATAGATTAGACGCTCGCAGAATATGCTGATGTAGGGGGATACTGCATTTCATTGTCCTGCTTCTATTGAGACTAAAGGGATAAGAAACCACAAATAAATAAAATACAAGGAAGAGTTTTTGAAGGACAAACATTATATATTTTAAAAGTAAAATACATCAGTGCATTTAAATGGATGTAGAAAGAAAGGAAAACATGAGATCTGTAACCATTCACAAAACTCACAACTACCAAGACATAACCTAATAAAATATAAAACAACATAAAGTTTCAAAAATGAAGGGAGACTTACTCTCTGGATGGGGAGTTGACACACAGTGGTGAGCTATGGTATTATTGAAAACAGGTTTGATCCCTCACTTGCTTCATATTTGCATGTGAGAAATTCTAGATTGTGTAGGGGAACTGACTGACTCTACTCACAGCTAATGTGAAGTATGAAAATAAGGCTAGCCCTACAAATGTCCTAGTCACACAGTTCCAGCTGCAGACAGTGGGCTGCTGTTTGCCAGCACAGCACCTTAGGGGAGAGAAGATTATGTGGACAGTGATTGGGATAGAGAAATAACATGAAGATTTTGTGGTTCAGGTGTCTTCAGGGTCCAAAGGAGTAGAAAAGGACGGCACAGGGGTGGGGGGTACAATTGGATCTGACCTGCAAAAAAGTTCACTGAGGATGAATTACTGCTCTTTCAAATACTGTCCCCAGTGTATGATGGCTGAATAAATATGTCATCAGCTGCATCGTATCTCTAAAGGCCTAGAAATACTTAGATGCTGGCCCAACCAAAGCCATTTCTTTCCTTATAATCCTATCTAATTTTTAACAAAGTATTAATCATTTTAAGGATAATCTCTATTTTGTTGTCATTTTTGGTAAATCTCTTAAGTAAATCAATTTGTACTGTTAAAAAAGTTATGAGAATTGCAATATAGGAAATGTGAAAGTTCTTTTACAAAAGATGACCATTAATAATAATAATAGACAGTAGAAAGCTAAAGAATCACCATCATCACAGCACTTACCAAATGGAATCTCTATATAACAGTTTAAAATATAAAACTTTTCCTTTTTGCACAAACAACTGTGTCTCTTGTCAATGATAGTTCACTATGAGGCAGTACAAGGACTCCCATGTTTAGTCCCTGGATATCAAACAGCAGCCAGAAGCAGCAACAAGCATCATCCCACTGTCCTTGGACAGCACTTACGGTCATTGCAGAGAGGTCCACTGAAGGAAGTCATGCTGCAGTCACAGCTGAAGCCATCCCACTGCTGCAAGCACACACCCTGATTGGAACACGAGTCTTCTTGACAGGTTGTGCTAGGACCTGCAAAATATTCCAAAAGAAACTTGGGTTTTTTAAAAAAATTCACAATAGTTTATGTATTAGCTAGATCACATACAGTAGTTGCCAACACCTCAAATTACAGGTCCAAACTAGTTTTGAAAGTTATTGTTCACACACCTGAATTAAGAACTGAGAGGCTGTAACAGGAAGGTTTTCTTAAGTTTCAACAATAGGAAAAAATATATTCTAGTAATGAGCTAACCCAACAAAGAGTAAAAGCAAGTACATTGTTGCTAGTATGGTCATGGAAACAGGTAATCTCATTCTCTTATCAATAATTCTCTGTCAATATTTGGTTTTCAGAAAATGAATGGGTCTCCTTAACTTCAGACCAATGAATAAAGACGTCATGAGAAATGGAGATTATAACTTCATGAAATTGAGATAAAGATTGGTAAAATAACCAAAGAGAGTTATGCAGAAATGCCTTAGAAGTTCCAGAAGCTTTCTCAGCACAAACTATGGATAAAGTTATGATTGCTGGGTGTTTTGGATAGGTATGTTGGCAAGTATCAATTCACATGCTTTAACGACTGCATGCAATTAAACATAAAATGAAAAACTCCATAGAAGTGGCATGCCCCCAATGAATGTACAAATAAAAAGAATGCTAGTCTGTTTCTCAAGAGTCATAAGTAGAACACTGAAAAACAAAGAACTAGAAAAGTATGATCAAAGTACTAAAGGCAATCACTATACAAACATATTCAAGACTGAAAGCCTTTATGCAACTATGCTACAAAATGAGATTTCTTGCACGATGTTCAAGAAGTGAAAAAAATAAAAATGAAATCTAAACCCAAATAACAGTTACTGCAGAAATGTAATAAATGTTATTTTAGGGTTTCCACTGTGTAGTATGGGGTTTCAGTCTTGTTTTATACACACAGGGCTATCTACCTTGCAAGTCAGCTTTCATCAATGCAACTTTGTCAGCAAAATAAAAAAAAAGCAAAATATATTAAATGTTAGTAAGCAATACTGAAATGGGGCAAACACAGAAAAACGTTCAGATTCAAATAAGCATGCTGCTGTAAAGGGGGGAAAATGCTATGAATAGCAAACAAATTAAATCTAACAGCCATAAATCTTAAGAGAAGCAAAAAATGAGAAAGCAGTAATTTATTAGAACTTTACTGTATATATGCATATATACAAGTATAATGATTAATTGAGCCAATGACATGTGATGAAGGAAAATTAAAATGGCCTTTGTAATTTTTCCTCTTCCGGATAGATATGAATGCCTTACCAAGTGACTGTGTTGCTTATTTGGAACATGGAGCACAATTTGTCCTGTGCAGATACAGTGTAGACTATGGTCATTAGCAGAGCAATTATCCCTTTCTATGTTTCTGGCTCTAAAGCTGTGGGAAATGGTAGAATTCAGCTATCTAGCTGTAAGAATAGATCACAAGAAGTTTGTTAACTAAGAGAAATAAGTCGTTTCTGTGAAATTCCACAAGTCCGTTTGTTAAAAGAATGCCAGAAAACTTTGAGATCTTGTAAAAGTCTCACAGGAGAAAAACAGGTTTTCCTAGTTTTCTTATTTACCATTTTCCGGGATCAGAGGACCGTGACCCAATGACTCTACGGGTGGTAAGAGCTATACGACTTACTACGCACATCTGTGATGCTTATGGTGGGCTGGTGGGTTTGATTTTTGGCTAAAGTCCTCCTGCTCTTGATACTATCTGATAAGAAGAGGGCTGCAGTGTGCTCTTTGATGTACGGGATTGGTGAATGGAAACAGGGGACTTGTGAATTCGCCTGTAGCTTTTATGAGTCGCTTAAAGTCATTTGTCACCAGAGGTTAAAATCAGAAAGACGATGGCCAGAATAACTAAGCTGCTTTCCTACATGTATAAAAGCCTTGCTTCTTCCCTTTGTGATTGTCGAATAGTGCCAGAGGAATTAAACTGCTGTTCGTCCCCCAGGCTGTCTCCTTTTCTTTCTATAAAAGTCAGTGCTTTCCGGGGTTCCAGGTCTCCCTCAAGAGAGACCTTTATTAAAAATAAAAATCAACAAAAGCTTGTATTTTTCTCTTTCAATTAAAGCTTAAAACTGTAATGCCAGCCATTCGCTGCCAACAGCTGGACTTTATGGTGACACCAGACTACGTGTGTGTGTGTGTGTGTGTGTGTGTGTATAAATTTAAGTGGGTGAAAGTAGTAAGAATGGAAGAAACAAACTGCTATATAATTCACCATATATTCTGTAAGATTTTTAGTGTGGAGAATTCATCATTGCTCTTACCAGCAGGGTCTACACCACTTAAGGATCTAAAGTGTTGCTTCTATTGTCTACACCTTCAAAATGGCCCTCAGCTCTGATAAACTGCCCTGTGAATAATTATTACAGCACCATCTGAGTAATAAGGACTTAGAAAGGGGTGAGAAAAGAACATAGTCCACCTAAATAGCTTTAGAGTGTAAATGAAAGATATTTTCTAGTAAACACAATTTTATGATTTTGTGAAAACATGAAAGTAGACACCAACCTAATTGAATGCTGAGAGTGACAGACTTTGAGGTACCTGTTTTAGTAAATAAATCTGATTTATCTGTAATTAGCATTTGTATAAACTGATGTTTTTGGAAAATGGCTTTAAACATGCACCGTACAAGTTACATTTCTATGACAACTTTCTCGGTAAAGCCACACTTCATAGGAAATTACTGAATTTAGTCTAACCTATGTGACTCTTCACAAATTTAAAAACATTATGTTATAAATACTGATAGCATAATAATAATTGGCATATAATAATGGTTAAAAACAGTAATGGTTTTTAAAGTCATAATAGTAATAATAATAATCTCCCAGGTCCACAAGAACGGAAGGTTTTGTTGTTCGAACCTCTATATGAGATAGGTGGTCTCCTGATCTTTGTCTTGCACCACTAACGACTGAATATAATTCATATTATTTTGAAACAAAAGCTCTCAAAATACTCTTCCTTCACCTATCTGTTCCAGGGATGAGTGGGGAGGGGTGGTGGGTATCCGGTCTGGGCAAGAAGCTGCCTTATCAATGGCCATTTGCTCCCTGACCTACACAGAAGGTGAGAGCAGGAGCAAAAACTGATAAAAACTCAGTTTTTGTTTTTGTTTTTCAAAAATCATCAGAAAATGCCATTGTTAAACAAAGCTAAACTCTAAAAAGAATAAAACTGCAATCCTAGAAATTGCCCATGTTGTAGAGTCACAACTCAGAGTTCCTGTCAAACCTCTACGTGAGCATGAAGACATGCTTTATTTTTATTATTGTTTTCATTATCACAACAGTCTTTCTGAATTCAGGTATTACAAGAGAATGCATGCCTATGCCTGACAAGACACATTTTTCAAAGTACTCACCTTCTAAAACAATGCTTAAACACTGACAGGCATTTGCACAAGACAGAGTCTTAAATTAATTTCTCCCTTAGTTACATAATGTTCCTTTTATTTTATTCTGACTGAAACTGGGAACAAGCCAAAGGCCAATCTATTAAGTGATTGTTAAAAAGGATATGTCTGAAAGGAAAAGGAAAATGGAGGTAAAACTATAATGTGTGAAAGCCAACAGGACAGTAGGAGACATAGATGTCTGGGATTTCAAGTAAGGTAAACTTGGATTGGAAACTTATATGATCCATTTATTAGGTAAGTAAACTTAGGAATATCTCTTTACTTCTCTGAGGCTTAATGCACTGATCTAGAGTAAAGGCAGTACTATAATACCTAATTTACAGTGTTCTGAGGATGGAGTAAGATAGCATATGCAAACTTATGGTCACCATTGCGGAAGCAACAGTGGGTGTTATAATTGAATAGGACAGTATTTCTAACACTTATAAAGTAGCCGAGGGCTCAATGTTACAGGTCTATAAAGAGGTGGTGAAAATTGTCACTGTTTCCAGAGAAGTTACCTTAACTTTAGAGAGCCTGCTTATTGGATGGTTATTAGGGTCTTTTTTTCTGTTATATTAGCAGGAGAAAGTCAGCCAAGGCAGTAATTGTCAAAGCCTGGGGCACATAACATCAGTACCACTTTCACTTGCTAGATGTATAAATTCTAAATCCTTATCTCAGACCTATGGAGTCAGAAGCCCTGGTGGTGTATCCAGTAATTTGGGGTGGTTTTTTGGGGGTTTTTTTGGGGGGGACTGGGGATCAAACTCGGGATCCTGCACTTTCAAGGCAGGCGCCAGAACCACTGAGCTAAATCCCTGGCCAGTAATTTGGGTATTAATAACGCTTCAAGTGATTCTGATAAAGGCTAAAATTTGAGAAATACTAATCTAAAAAGGCTCTGACAGGGTAAGGTCCCTTCCCTAGACGAGATATATTTTATAAATAAAATCAACTATTACCCATTGAAATAAGTTGGCAATAAAATGCAGCAAGTGATTATTGAGAGAAGGTCAAAGGCTCTTCTGCAGGCCAAGAGCTTAGAGATCTGTGGGTCTTATTGGATAGGAATGACAGAAAATCTTAACAAGATATTACTTGGTCATGTCGAACACACACTATTTCTATTAATATGAAGGCTAAGTGACTCCAATGTGATTTAGTCTCAACTTCCTTGAGACAACTATCTTTAGAGAGATAATTTATCAGCTATGTACTGTTTAACTACTAATTCCCACAACATATGAATCTCATCAGTTAGCCCTATGACAGGTACATCTAAGTTTATTCCTAGAAAAATTCCAAGGTAGAAATAATCATAAATTAAGAGCTGTTAACCTCGATGTTAATCAGAGAAGTATCAGGGCAGAAAGGCAGGAATAGGATAATATTTTAGGAGTAATGGAAAAGGGGTGAAAAGAGGTAGAATTAGTAAAGCTCGGATATTTAAAAATTCACACATAAAGCAATAAAAGAATCAATGCCATAATCTACTGATTGAGTTCAAACTTTTGGACAGTAGTTTCAGGCTACCCAAGGGGATATGTGATAAATCATAATGAGGAAATTGCTTACTAGATGAGGTTGGGAAACAATAGTAAGTGCCATTATCACAAGTACCTCTACACATACATCTTGCTCCCATTACCTTCCCATCCATCCACTCGCTAACATCATGGTCAGTGGTGAGGACCCTGTGTGCTCGTGTCTTACTTTCTACATTGTGGATATTTAGCTGAATATATCTGTCTGCCTATATCACTTCTTATAGGTGAGAAAACACCAAGAGGAAAGCATTACTTTTGAAAAAGATTTTCCAAAATAGTTTTTAGTAACTTTTCCTTAAAAAATAGATAACAATATATTCTAACTAATAAGATCATTTCCGAGAACTAAAGTTATGATGTCCTACATTCTTATATCCATATAATACAGGGAATTTATTCACTTAATAATTTTGTTTCATTTAATAAATTGGTAGGAGAAAACAAATTCTCCTTGTTTTATGAAAGTATTATATCAAGTTTTGAAAGAGAGTTTAAATATGGAAATATCATTAAAAGAATTCAACAAAGCCTTCCATTAATAAGCATATACTCATATTATTTCAACAAAGTTGGAATTTCACCTAACTTTTCAGAGAAACAGATGTTTCAGAGAGAGAAAAAAATGTATTTTCAAATAAAAAATATCCATGTAGTTAGGTAACTGCTAAATATAACAGCAATATTTTGGCTGAAAAGAAATGATTCATAATCTCCTGGGGGATAGGAATTCACATTTGTTTCTTTTTCTTCTACATAAAATTTCCATAGGAATCAGAATTTTTCAAAATGGACCAAACTGTTCAACATAAAAGGAGAGCAACAATTTATCCAGAGCCACAGAACTCATGGTAATGTGATTAAATTACATTTTTGGAGTGAGAATTGACTCAAATAATCTGAGGTGTTGCAGTGAAAATTATTTAAAATAAAAGTAACTATCAAAAATACTTCTATAGATCTTGGTCTGGTAGAACATATATAAGAACAAAAGGCACTTAAGTGCAGTTCTGAAGTGTACAATATTAGCCTTGCGTATCATATGAAATCTATTTTGCCAAAACAGGTAATATACTGAATACATACTTGCTGCCAGGTACACATAAATCAAATAATGATTTGAAAAAGGGGTATCTGAACTTTGATTTTCATTTTATATCTCATTGATTGCAGGTTTTAAATAATGGGCCCAAGCTAGCTAATACTTACTACATAAATATATTTTCTACATTAAATGGGGTATCTATGTAATGCTATTAAGTACACACTACAGACCTGATTAACACACACAAACACACACACACACACACACACACACACATCAGGTGGACTGCAGGATGCAAAGAAGCAGAAAATAGTGGGATCTACAGATACAACTCCCACATCACATCAGGCATGAGTGTAGGCCTGCAAACAGCTCAGATTTGTGGGATGAAAAGTATAAAGCACTAAGAAGGATTTCTAGGCCTGAAGCGGGAATTCAACCTATGAGTAGAATTTTACTGGGCAGTGAGATTCATCCTTTTTCATAGGTGGAATTAGAATCATGTGGAGTGTGATGACAAAGACGCAGTACCTTCACATCCCCTCTCAATCTGTCCATTGCAGAAAAGAGCATCTGAGATGAGGTCCGGGAGCCGTCCATTTAGGTCAACGGATGCCAGGCAGCCTTGGAAGCCCTCCTTGGCGTGGACCAGTTTTGGCAAGGATTTGTAGGTTTCTTTAGCCACTCCTCCTATATACAAGTCACCTGTGGGAAGATCAAACTCCATGTCACAAAAGTAGCATGTCATTCACTTTAAACACAGTATGGTAGAAGAGAAAGAAGAGAGGTTTAGTTTTAATTAAATTAATAAAAAACTAAATTTATAAATCATGTTTTCCTTAAAGTGTAAAAAAATAGAAATGTTTGAATAATACATTAGCCCTAGAAGAAGTTCCTAGAAAATGGAAATCAATTGGCCAGGCGTGGTGATGCATGGCTGGAATTCCAGCACTCAGGAGGCTGAGCCAGGAGGATTGCCTAGAGTTTGAGGTCAGCCTGGGCTACATAGTGGGCTCAAAGCCCACCTGAACTGCACAGTGGGATATTGCTGAAAGGAAGGAAGGAAGGAAGGGAGGGAGAGAGGGAGGGAGGGAGGGAAGGAGGGAGGAAAGAAAATGGAAATCCAAACCCAGTTATTTACCAACTGAATTATCTTTAGTTTCTCTGATGAATAGTATTAGTAGTCTCATTTTCAAAATGGGATCAAAAATCCTACCCTGTAGGGTAGCTATGAAGATGAAGTGGGTTAACACACAGGAAGCATCATCAGAGTGAAAATATGAAGATAGTAGCAGACATTCAATCAGTAGTCTCTCTTACTAAATTTACTTTCTGCTTAGAGAACTCTGGGACTTTCAGTTAATCAGAGGTTCAAGTTCTCTCCAGTGGCTAAAGTTACCCTCTAAACGACATGTAAGCCCATTGTTTGTATGTTTGTATGTCTTCTTCACTAACTCATTCCCATTACAGTCTATATATACCTGAAGATTATGTCCTTCAGGCATATCCTTTTTAAATAACATCGCTTTCAACTCTTCATGTTGGCTTGAGATTTTTTTAACTAGTTACCAATTTATTTTTTCCTCTTTCTTCGCAGGTTCTAATGGAACAGATTATCTCTGTCATCTTTAGGTCTCTAAGTTCAGGATTTATCAGCCTTATGTGTCATCACTTTTAAAAAAATTGCAATTCACACTTGATTCTGCCTCTTTTCCTACTGCAGATTATCACTGTATCTCCATGGCATTAAGTAGGTGAAATTACTAAACTCTAGTATACAATTAGTGCAGAGGGTAACCCCAAAATTCTATAAAACACTACTCCTGTCTACAAGCTGTTGTGACATACTCTTGTCAGATATTTTCTCAACTTCTCATTATTATTTGAATTTACTCTCACCTATTAACCATTCTACACAATTTTATGTCACTTGGCACATTTTTCCCCTGCATTTCTCATGTTCACCTGGATCCCTCATGTTGCCTGCATGAGAAAGAAGGAATTGATATGCATGCTATTTCTCCAGGTGTGAGTGCTAAGTCCTCGGCCTTTGACCCAGAAATCTGTTCTACCAGCATTCACGAAACTAACTTCTTTGCGTGTAAGCAAGGTAGAACCAAACCAAAAACCTGAAACTTCTGAATTGTACCTGTGAGTATATTGAAATAGACAGAATGGTCACAGGGCTTTATAAAGGTCATTTAGTATTACAAACTGGGATGTGCTTCCTTAACCTACTAATCAACACTGTATTATTCTAGGATGTCATTGATTCTCTACAATTTTTACTGAAAGTAGTGGATGTTGTTACGTCCCCCATCTCTTAAATAAAATGAAGGTTTATTGACTACTAAGCATCATCCTTAAAGGATAGCATGTTTTTGGTCTGGGTACTAGTTTTGAAATGATATTTGATTTTTTCCTCCATATTTCCATTCTCTCTTTTCTCTTTCCTCTCATTGAAACTTCAAGCCATTGTGTCTTACTTGCCTCAGAGAAAGCTTATGAGTCATAAAGACATAAAATTAGCTTTCTGTCTTAAGTCCTAAAAGTCTAGACCCTTCTAGGAATAAAATAGACAAAACATGTAGACATTTACATGAGGAGAGTAAAGCTCCCCTGCACCCCATTTGGGCAGACAGAAGACAAGTTGGAGGAGCACAGCCGTCAATGATGAGTGCCAAAAAGAGGGCACAGTTTTCTAATTTAAGAGCCAAGCTTTGGTGGTGTCAAAACTTAAAATAGGTAGAGGGGCTGATGTACATCTGTGTGTATTTCCTCCGGCGAACCAGAGGTGGCAGAGATTCTTGAGAACTGGTTTTGTGAGAGTTAGACTTGCTGGGAGCAGAGAGAGCCTCATAAAACTATGTATCCTCCACTATGGTGAGGGAGCGATAGAACAATTTCCAGATGCTCTAGAAATAGCAGAAAAAGTCTTACTTGAAGTGGTAATGCATACAGAGCAAAAAGGCTGGGTAGAAATTCAGTGGACACCTAAACTGTGACTACAGAATATTTGAGAACCACTCCCATGCTCCCTCTTTCTCCCTTCTCCAAAAACAGTGGAAACCTCTGTCCGCTACTGCTTGTAATTTACACTTAACTCCAGGGAAAGAAGAGAACTAAAATTGCCTGAGGTTACACTAACTCAAAGAATCAGAGTTCATAATAGAAACCAAGGTGAGTTTAGAAAAAAAAAAAAGTAAGAAAGTTACCTTTTCCCACATTAGAGAATGTCAGCTAAGATTTATACTTTTACTTGTCAAATATCAACTCAGGTATATGCTCTCAGGTATATGTTCATTTGTTTAACTAAATTTGTTTAAAAATTTTTTTAGCTCTGTTCCCAGCCAATGAATATAATGGTAGAGAGCAGGTGGGAATTGAATAAAGAATTCTTAGCACTGCTTCAGGCTTTTCAGATGTACAACCTAGTACTAAAAGTTATGTATGAAATACTACATATTTGATTATCAGTCTTCCTCTTTCTGACTGCAACTTCCTGGAGGACACAGAGTGAGACTTTGTTTTCACATTCTCCATAGTGCTTAGCTCTAAAAACAACAGGAACCCAATAAATATTGCCATCCACTTGACAGATTAAGAGCAATAAAAAAACCAAACTACAACAACTAAAGGATAATGATAAGGTAACCCATGGAGAGTGTGCTAATTGTGAAATGAATTTCCTTCCTTCTTCTCCCCATTTCCTGTTTTCTTATTAGCCAACCTACTTGTCTGACAACTTTTTAGAAGTTATTAAAGAGAAGTAGTAATCTTTCCCTTGTGTTACTAAAGAGCAGAAAATATCAATTCAATGTTGAGGATGCAAACCTCAACAAGCATACCAAAGTGGATGAGTTTGGCTTCTTAAGTAGGGAACTCATTTTCATTTTCATTACGGAAGCAGCACTTATCACCACCACTTAGTATGGTTTTTATAAACTCTTCATATAGCAGATAGTGTCTAAAGTCCCTTGGTGAGTTGCCACATGAAGACAACAAAGGAAACTCTTAAGTGGTCTCAGCCCTGTGTGCCATTACCACCTCATCAAAAATGCAGCTTCTCCTTTTGATTCTTGGAGTGATGGAAGGAAAATGACTCATTAGTGTTAATGGGCCCTCAAAGGTGAATCCTCTGCAAATGAAGGTGGATATGCTGCACAGTGACCCTGTGTGTGAGCAAGAGCCTGCATGGACATTCATTAAAAGCCAAGTTTCCTGTATTGTTGAAGCTTGCCTATTGCCCCTTTTTAAGTAGGCCATAGATAGCACTAATAAGCAAAAGATGGAATTGAGGCATTTTTGGCAAAAGATGCAGAGAATATGTATAAGGTAGGGGACCTCAAATATTTGGGGAATGAGTTTTTTGAAATCTCAATGAGAACTTCATGTCTAGCACATCTATGCATAAATCTATGCACTGTCTTCCTCTCAAAGAGTTATCTGCAATTAATTGAACATGATATCACAAATGCATTCCCCAGAAATCGGGCAGTAGTGAGTAGGGAATAGTGTGCAGGCTTTTTAGTTTCATGTGGCTACAAACTCTGGCCCTGCAACTTACTGGCTGTCTCAGTGTAGGAATGTTAACTTTGGGAGTCACATTCTTCATCTGTAAAATGAAGTCAACAATGCTGAACTTGTGAGGCCATTAGGATCACAGGAAATATACATAAAACATTACTCAGCACGTACTTGGCTCGTGGATGACAATGCTATGGCTGTGTCCATATGTTTGGTAATGTTAACATGTCCACAGTGTACCTCCTTGTATGTCAACTGCACTGATAAATACAGAAGAATGAGAAGTCCAGTTTGTCCGTATTTCTAATAAAACTGAAGTGACTAGATGTCAAACTTACAAGTCTTCCATGACATTCATTTGATTTGATTAAATTCACATTTGTCTGTTGGCAATCTTGCACTGTATTATCAGTAGCCCATAGGCTTCTTTGACATACTTAATTTTAAAGCCATTAAACCTGGTAACAAAACCAGAAAGGTTGCTTTGATACTAAGAGATTTTTTAAAAGTTCGATGAATCCCATGGACCAATTTGTAGGTTCAAGCTAAATGAGTTCTAGAAAAATCAGACAAATGAAAGGTTTTCCTGGTTGTAAGAAGGAGCAAGACCCGGCATAGGAGACATAGTCTCTTGTGACATTTAAGTGTAAGTACCATAACAGCACAGACAGACTATGGAGAAAAAAGGAATACGGTCTTCAAGAAAGAGAATGAAAAGCCAGACTGAACTGGAAGAGAATTCAATTATTTATTAAATAATGTAAATAAGATTGGAAGAAAGAAATCAAAGAGAAGAGTTTGGGGAAAACAATAAAACATGATACAACTTATGACTACTGCAGAGAGAGAGAGAGAGAGAGAGAAGAGAGAGAAAGAGAGAGAGAGATCTGAGGACACAAGCCAAAAAGGCTGTGAGACTGGGGAATTTAAAGCAGTAAAGATTTAGATGAAATTGCATCTGACATTAAACATGTGGAATTTGACATGGGGTTGCTGTAAGGGGTCCAGTCCAGTGTTTTGAACCTAAGGTTTAGGGAACAGAGATTGAGGCTTGAACACTTAATTTGGGAGCCACTGACCAAAGCAGATGAGTAAGTGATACAAAAGGTTTTCTTTCTCTTAAAACAGGGAGCATAAGGCAATTAGAGCAAAGGCTTCCAGCTTGCCTTACAGTAGCAGAATGCAAGTGTCAAGGTATAATTAGTTCTTTGACTCAGCTTTCCTGTTTATT